GCAGGGTGAGAAGATACTTCATCTTACTCGCGAGTTTTAAAAGATGTCTTAACAAGTGATGATCCACTGTCCATGCCAAAATATATGGAGCATTTTACGAAAACAATGTTTATTTGTTAACATAAACAGTTAATAACAATTACTAACTAATGTTCTTTATGTAAGTAAATATTATTTGGGAGACACAGGATTCATATCAAAGTTTAAATTATAACTCCATATCAGGGGGTAAGGTACCACCTTAAGGAGTATACGCAAAGAGGTCGTACGACTCTTTGAGAATTATTTAATCACTGTCATTCCTCATTGAGGAATGTAATTGAGGGGACATTTGGTGTGTTAAAGAAAAGATTTTCCATTATAGGAAATGGGGTTGAACCCTACTATAGTTTTGAAACATCGAGGAATATAATTTTGGCATGTTGTACTTTGCACAATTTTTTACGTGGAGTAGATAATGATGAATATTTTCTACATGAACTGGCCTGAGAATTAGAGTAATGTGTAGATGATAGGTTTGCAACACAAATTTAAGAGGATGATTATAGGGAAGGGGCTAACTTAAGGGATCTAATAGCAACCGAAATGTGACATGATTATAATCAATAAATTATGTTTTCTTATTTTCTTAATGTTCATGTATATTTTAGTATAATTGACTATCTATAATGTAGTATGATAATCATTTGTTTAATATTGAAATTGTGCCTCCAACCATAATAACAATGACATAATCTACAATAACTTAGTTGTTGGAAGAGCTATGGGGAGTTGATTGTGCCACTGGGCACATGACTAGGACCGCACGACGAGTTCGACAACGATACAATTTCACAATCGACTTGGGTGTTGACCTTAATGAAGATGCAACAAATCCCTTATTCCACCAGGACTAGGCATGGCAACGGGCGGGGCGGGGCGGGTTTTGCCTCCTTGATCCTCGGCCCGACTTTTTAACCATCCCCGTCCCTGCTGGGTTTCGGGTTCACGCCCCGCCCGTCCCCGATCTATATTATTTTTAAAAAGATAATTACATTTATAATAAATTAATTTTACTATCTATTTTTTACATATAACTAAATATTTATAGTTTTATAATTTATAATTATTATTAATTAAATATACATTTTAATTTACTATATTTATATTAAAATATATATGTAAAAAAATATTTAATCATTTTTTATTTATAAGATTATTATTATTATTATAACACTCGTATTGAAATATTTGGATACTTATAACATTATTATTATAATACTGTATTCAAACATTTGATTATATATAAGTTAATTCATTTTTAAGTTGTCATTTAAAAATATGAAATATATAGTTTATAAGAAAATATTTAATAAGTTAATTCTTATTCAATTAGTTTGAAGTAATAAAAGTTCAAATTATCAATTCCTTTAATCCTCTAAAATACAATTATTTTATTAAGATAAAATTTGATATATGATAAATAAGAATAATAAGATAAAAAATATAACATAATAAAACCTAATAAATATAAATTATAAACAAAATAATATTAGTTACTACTAAGATTTATGTAAAATATTTAGAAAAAGATAAAGAATAAAAAAAATTTACTTTGTGTTCATCAAATTGGTTGAAAAGATTGAAAAAAAAACAAATTGATGGGAGAGATTAAAGAAATGTGAAAAACTGAAAGGTAAGAGAATGAATAATGTAATAAATTAATTGATATAAAAGATTAAAAAAGACAAAAAAATTAAAAAGTGGGTAGAAGAAAAATAAAAATTGGTGAAATATTAAAAAATGACATTATATGTAATAGAAAAAGAAAAGGAAATACTTTTAAAATATTAATATTTTAAAAATTAAATTTAAATATAAAGTCGGGGCGGGGACAAGGTCGGGGTGGGGATTGCATTACCCATCCCCGCCACCGCCCCGACTTTTTAATGCGGGGAAAACCCGAATCCGTCCCCGCCCCCAGTCAACTCGGGTTTTCCATGTCAAACTTGGGGCGGGGACGGGTCGATCCTCACGGGTACAGGTTTAGTTGTCATCCCTAATCAGGACTACACTCCCTCGTTTACTGAGATGCAACCTAGTCCTCCGCGAGTCGATTCGTACAATCCCAACGTCTCTCCATTTGTGTCATCTATCCCATCTGTCCCATCCAGTGGCACCTCATCATGTAGGGGCTCCAAGAGGAAAGTCCACATGATCGATGTTGATATGAATTCACAGTTTGAAGCGATGAACATAAGTATCCACAAAATGATGGATAAGATGGGGGAGAGTAACAAATATTCAGCCAAGTTGACAGACTTGGTAGAGGTTCAGGCCACTGACATGTGCCGATGAACAAACTTATACATTGAACACGTTATCATCCAGAGAAGCTCTATTACGCCACATTATTCTGCATCATATATATGACAAATGTTATGTGAGCTTAATCTTTTGGTCGATTACCTTTAGTTGCAGTGTTATGAATAATCTGCAGAAATCTCGTCTATAAGGAGATGATTTTTGGCCTTCCACCATACTTACGGCTGAATTACTTGTTGAAGCACATGAACGGTGGTGATCCGTTGTCATAAGATATGTAGGACACATCTATCATGTTGGATGACTATACTATAATTATCTTTATTTATTGGATGACTATATTATATTTATCTTTACTTTTTTAGATGAATGTAACAAGATATCTTATGAACGTATAATTTATTTATTTGAATGATTATAATTAATGTTTCTTATAAATTAAAATATTATTTTATTTAATATTATTAATAAGAACATTGTATTTCAATGTTATTTAATTATTGTATTTAACGTGAAATAAAAATTAAGAAAATATACAACAACTTATAAATTATTAATAGAATAATATATTATTCATTCAAAATATAAAAAATTTTAAATATATAATTTAAACTACTAAAAATATTTTATAGTTAATATATAAAATAGTTTTAATTATACTTTATCTATAACATAATATTAATATATTTAAATATTATGTACAATATAAATTAATTTATATTATTATATTTAATTATATTATAATTTTTCATTTATACTTAACTTATCCATTATAATAATAAAAGTATTATAGTTATTACAATAAAAAATTATTATTTAATTTATTTTATATTCATTTTTATCGATACGTAGAATAAATTCACTTAAATCTTTTTTTTTCTCAATCTAAACAATCCTACAAACCACTCTAAATCACCTCAAATCTCAACAAATTAATATAAATATAAAAAAAAATCTTATTACGGTAGAAAAGTTTAGAAAGTTTTTTTGAGGAAGGTGAACATGTCTTTCTAATTTTTCTATTTTGAATTTATTTAGAAAATATAACGTTGTTTTACTGCACCTCTTAATATTAATTATTTTTTATGATTATTAATTAGTATTAAAGGAAATTTAATAAAAAAACAGATATATTTACTTAAATAAATCGAGCTATTAAATTTCTTTATTTTTAACCAGTTTAGAGTTTTGTTATTAAATTTCCTTTAACACAAATTGATTATTTATTTGGATTTTGTGGGCCTGAACAAGGGCTGGTCCAGAAATTTTCTTGGTCGAACAGTGGTTTGGTGTTATTAGGCCCATTGACCCAAAGCATAATCCCACATGGGCCAAGAAAGGTTATAGAATTCTATTTACAATATCCTTTACGCACTATATATATATATCCTTACGAAAATAATTTTCTCAACAAATAATTTCTAAAATGTATATTTAAAATTTTTGTAAACTGAATTACAATATATAACAAGATTAGTTATCTTTTAAAATTTATTTTATATGACTGTACCTTTTACAATATGGTGAGTTTCTCTTTCATGAATGTTTTATTCATATATTATATAATATATAGTAAAAATGTAATAAAACATATTAATAATAAATTAATCTTAACTATTTAAATTAAAATAATAATACAATATATAATTTTTTCTTTAAAAAAGTATAAATACATCTTAATATTTAATTTAAATAAATAATAATAAAATATATATCATAAACGTCAATCATCATCTAATATAATCTTATAAATTTATAGAATATGCATATGTTAATTTTTTTTCATTTTTATCAATTATAATATTTGCAATCAGTTCGATAAGCTTAAAACTTATAAATGAAATTTCCAAATCACAGTTCAAATCGATGAAAGGTAAAAGATTTTTTTACAATCAAGGTGTATAAATTTTTTATGTATAATCTTAAAATATTATATTTTTATTAATAAAAAAATAAAATAAAATAGATAAATAATAATATAAAAATTTAAAAATAATTATTGAATTGATATCTTTATAATATTATTGATGATATTGTCTCTGTGGAAATATAAGATTGGACACAGAGATAATAATAATAAAAAAAATATATTGACATCTCCCATTCTTAAAACAACCTATCAATGCATCATTATTTTTCTTTTAAATTAAAAATTATTGGTTATAATAGAATATAAAAATTAAAAATTAAAACAAACATATTGAATTTTTATTAACCTTAAACTCTTGACGAGTCATATGCAAAAGAGGTCGTACAAATAGTAACGGTAAGTAGTAACACAATAATATATAAGAGATTCTGCAAACTGAAAAGAAAATTCTTTTTAAAGCAAACTCTAACAAGAACAATTCCACTTATTGGCATCTACCAGAATACAGGATCAAAAACAGCTCGGTCATAGAGCACACTTATGATTCATCATCTTGCACACAGTGGTCCATTCTCAGCTTGCAACTAAAAATACTTGCAAAGCTACTGCAAACTTCTTTCCTCCCTTCTTTATGGATATGAAAGTCATCAGAATGAAACCATTACCAATCCATTGTATTTGATTTTGGGTTTGGATGCCACCATTCTTCATCTCAGGAAGGGGCAAAAATAGGCATGCCTGCAATCCAAGTTCCCACAGTTAACTTGAGAACTTTTATACCCACAGAAGGATTATGTTTATGTGTCAATTACTTGCAACTTACCTGCTAGGCGCTGAAAACTGCATTAGTGTCTGGTTTAAGCATGACGTTTGTAACATCAGCTTGGTCTGTGAAAAATAAATACACATTCATAAGAATAACATAGATTTTGACTATTTATGTAACCATTTTCAATTTGACAAATTTTACTTACTAAAGGGTGTTCTTTGTACGAAGAAGCAAGCCCCAATAACTATGTAGCACAACAGGAGAACAAGGCCTTTCATGTAGTGAGAAGTACCATCCTATATAAACGAGTGGTTTTGTTAATCCTTATATTCCATTACAAGAATATTGAATGAAAATACAGTGTTTTTGTCCATTGAATTTGTTAAATATACCTGTAAAGTGAAGCTTGTGACTATTACTGCCAAAGCAACGGAACCAGTCTCTAAGAGGTTGAAGTTCAAATCCATTTTGATACCCATTATCCAAGCAACGATCACACATAAAGGGACCTATATTGTAATCACATAAAGTTTCATCAAAAGAAGCAGAAAAAAAGAGAAACTACATGAAACTATGAAAGTATCCATTTACATATTAGATCGAGGTGTGTATCTTACCACAAACATGGCAATCTGAGTTGCTGAACCCAATGCAACACCCAATGAGATGTCCTGTAGTCAAGGCATACTTTAGTTTCAGTGAATTTCATATTTTCTTGCCAATAAGAATGTTATACTAAATGGGAGGAATTGTAGAGTTTTATATCATTCTCTCAAGTTCTCACCAGCTTGTTCTTGAAAGCAAATATGATTGCTCCAGCATGTTCAGCTGCATTTCCAACTATTGGTAGCAAGATTAAGCTGAGGAAGCTCACAGACAAACCCCATGAATCGGATGCATCCTGTTATATTTGGCAATTTTATCATCCATACTATAATAGTCAAAATGAGATTTCTTTTTTTTTAAACATTTTATGTCAATTACCTCAATTGTATCCACCACATATTCAGACAACAAAGCAATGAATACAGTCATCCCAATCAGCCAAGCAATGGCACTCCACAGTCCAATGACAGGTTGTTCATCTGAACCATTGTTCTCATCTGTATCCTCCTGGCCAATTCAGGATGTTAAATACTTCTCAGATATTGGCACGAATTAGATTAATTAATTGCATACCAACTTCATCATTTTCATAATTCAAAAATCCTTACATCTTCAGCTTCAAATAACTGCCTGTGTGTCCACAGTTGAAAGATAATGTAAACAACATATGCAATCAGCATGACAATGCTAGAAGCTCTTGACAAGTGGAGTGAAGGATCAACAGTGAGAGCAGCTGAGGCGGCGCTATATTTGTACAGCACTGGAAGTAAGTAGCACAATAATCCCAACAACAGCATGAGTGAGTTCACATCTCCTTGTCTCTGTAAATTCAATTCTTAATTAACATTAGTCGTTGTTCCATTAATAAAGAACAAATGAAAAAATTACATACATTAGGCAAATCTGTGAATAGATTTTAGAGTCTTACTCTATCATATTTTTGTTCCACTCCAAGGTTAGCAATGCCACCACATAATAGAGAGGTCCCAAGAACCAGAAGAAGGTTTGAAAGAATAGAACCCAACAGAGAATACTTGACCACAGCAACTTTGTTAGAGCTAAGGGCAAATATTGCTATTACGAGCTCAGTAATATTCCCACATGTGGCGTTCAGAAGTCCTCCAACTGTAATTGAGAACATATGAAACATTTAGCTGCAGTGATACCACAATCAATTTTACTTCACAATTTGTTGGAGCATGCTTTTTTATTTTAGTTAAACCATTTGGTTTTACTGTTTCCGAGATAAAAAAAAATACCACATGATTTGTCTCGAAAACTAATAGTCTAGATCCAATAAAGTCAGAAGAGACTTGATTTATTTTATGTTCCAAATTAAATATTAGCTAGTGAATGAAATTTTCCTTGTGATAATCTTTAAAATTGATGATGCACTTGATGATTCATACCTGTGGGACCAGTGTACAAGGCAACTTGTCTGCAACAGAGAGAATAGAACTAGAATCAGTAATCAGCCCAGAACCAAAAAGCTTGTTGTAAAACAAATAATCCTAAGATAAAATGAAAGGGTGCAACAAGTTCATGAGGTTCCTTACTCTGTGATGAAGCTCACACGTTCAGCAAGTGGGATAAGTCCAAGTAGGCTCAACATAAAAACCCAAGGCTGTTCATAATAATAAAAAAATATACAGAATAGTCAATAGTTAGATATAAGTTAATAGCTGCAAATGATTACAATAGAGAAAAAAAACAGTTTTTAACCTTTAAATAACTTTTCTAATGAAACACACTCATGAATTTTATAGAAGTTTCGCGAACTGTCATATTCAAACAATCTTTAAATGTTTAAAAAAAAAAAAGGAACCACCCTCCTCAATAATATTCCCAGCCGTATTCAAAATATGGTCAAACTACTTCTAAACTCAAAATTAGTTCATTTGGTTGACCATGTTTTAGAACAAGTGGAGTGGTCGTATTAATTTGAGAAACCAAACTTATATGTTTCTTTCTTTTCCTTTTAGAAAATCATTCGAACTTAGTATTGAGGATAGTATCACAAATAAAATTTCTAAGTAGAGAGAGCAAGGGTATCAAATAAACGAAACATTGACAAGTTTAATGGAGCCATAAGAAAGATTAACTCACTCTTCCAAGGCCATAGCACTCAGCAATGATGGCAGCAGGAATGGCAGGAATGAGAATGGAAAGCTTGGTGCCAAGAGTAACCTCTTGCAAGTTGAGAAGCACGTTTCTGAGAGTAGCACAAGGAACCTTGGAGACAAGAGTGCGATCAGACTTCTTGCGAAGGGAGTTGGAGGATTTGCTGTGTGCAGTGCGGCCATGCCTCATCTCCCTTGTCAACACCTTCGGGTTCCCGTTCTCCAATAGCCATGGTTCTAGTTGGTGAGAACCCATTTTTGCTAACTGCGTAAGATTTTAGCAACGTAACAAGGACACTATGGGGGAGTGCAAACGGAGATATGATAACCCTCGCCTTTGTGCTGCAGAAACCACAGATTATGGTATCTTGTCGTACCTGCTATAGATAGCTACGTCTGCATGTAATGTTTTTTGTTCATGAGACATTGAAGTTACAAGTGTGTATTTATAAGCCTTCCAAACATGTAAGGGAATCTTCCCCGAAGTTTCTCTTATATGTATATACAGGATTTTGAAATTGCTCTTAAATTTCATCCATACATATTATTTCTTTATGACTTCATTTTATTTTTCTTGATCCCATTCTTCTTTTATCTCATTATGTGATTGTTGTTTCAGTTGAAAATTTGAAATTATTAGAAATAATTTCAATTTAAATGAATGCAGATTACATATATCCATATTAAAATGTGCACTATATGTTGTTTCAATCAGAGAAAACAATGGTTGACCAAAGAAACAAGAAGTAGTACTTTGTTGTGGCATTGAATAATACAAAGTACAAATGACTGTACGGCTATACTTCAGCATGGAGCTTTGTTAACTTTAAACAAATAGTGTCAACTGTGCATAGAAATAAACTTTAAATTACATTATTTATCTCTAAAATTCTAATACCAATAATTTCTCTTATTATTAAACTATTCAAAGATTTCATATTCAAAATAAATAACTAGTATATATATATACATATATTATAAATATTAAATTCTCACTCTTAAATTAAAATGTTTTAGAAGATTTTTTTTTATCAAAATACTAATTTTACTTAATAAAAGGTTCAAAATTTAAATTAAATCAGAAGATATTTATAAAATACTTTACATTTGAAAATTATGGTCATTTAAAAAATACTTTTGCTTTTTAAATTTTAATACGCTATATCAATAAAATAGTTCAAATCAAATTATTCCTTTCACAAGTTTTCATTTAGTTTAGAACGTTATATATCTACCTAAATTATTTATGAATATAATATAAAAGTATGTTTAATAAATTTTTAATTCCAATATATGGAAGAATTCTGATTTTGATTCTTATAAAAATATTTAGTTATATTCACCAATTATTTAAATATTCAAGATAAAGTGAATTACATGGTATTTATTAATGTTCATAGCATTATATTAACATGTGACAAGTTTAAAATTAGATAGATTTCTAAATAAATGTTATTCGTTTTTCTTAAAGTAAATGTTATGGAGTAGAGATAATGATTTTGCTTTCGGAGGAGGATGCAAATTGAAAAATAAAATGTCTATATTATTCAAAACAAAAATTACTCATTCAAAAAACAAAAAAATTAATTAAAAAAACAAAACTTAATTATTTTGATTCCTATAGTTTTAAAAAATGTCTTAATTTTAAAAATCTGGATAAGAAGATCTACAGTTCAAATTTTATGAGGATCAAAATTGTACATTCGTTAGATTATATGGAACAAAATGATTTTAAAACCTAGGTATTTGTTTTTAGTTAATATTAAAAAAGTTAAAATCAAAATTTGTATATTATTTGTTCTTTTAGAAAAAAAAAATACAAGGGTAAAAATTGAAATGAAAAGACTGACAGAAAAATTGTAAAATCTTTAAGGTCTACAAGGGTAGTAAACTAAAAAATTAACTTACTAATTTCACACATGTCAAAAATCTTATTATTAAGTGGAAATGTGACTAAACTAAATTCCACTGATTAATTTGTATATTTCACTTAGTTATACATTATTCAACATATTGTTTTTGTCTTGCATGGAAGCGATAGCGGATCTTCTTGGGAGTTGAAAGGCATGATGCCTCGAAAGTTTTATAACTCCCATGTAATTTATGATTTTAGCTTCCAAACATAATGAACATTTAATATATTTACTTGTATATTTACAATTTTATCCTCTCAATTCCTCCTCAATTTTGTAACTACTCATATAATTTATGATTTTGTTTCCTCAAACTTAATTATCATTTAATATATATCTACAATTTTATCTTTTCAACCTTTCATATTCTTTTTCTTTTTATTATTTATTAATAATATATTATTTAGCTTCAAGATCAATAGTCAAGAATCCGCCACTGCATGGAAGAAAGTGTTTTGGCTGTGCCATGACAAGAAGAAATTAACAAACAAGAGCAATCAGTGCTGGAAAATACCCAGGCATAGAAATTGTTAAGAAATTTCCTAAAGCAAAAGACATAACTAAGTATTTTTCATCTGCTATATATATTGCCATAACCATCTTGCAGAAAACTGTTCCAGAGATTTGGAGAAGAAACCAAGCTTGGTGTAAGTTTACTCACAAGTTGGGGAAGAGCCTTATTCCACAAAGGTACTGTGTCCTTCACTTCCTTCTCACTTCCACGGATTCATTGAACTCGTCACTGTTTTTTGTTTTTTGAGATCACATTCACAGTATTATTAATGAAAGGTTTTTTCTAATGAAACATTATTCATGAAAGATAACTTAACACAGTTATATACTATTATTAACTTTATCATATTTTTAAATCCCACTAAAATATTCAGAATTTAGAATAATTTTGCCACTGTTTTACATGAGTAAGTAGAAAAAAAAAAAAAACTATTTTGTACATTTTAAACTTTTACTTTTATTTTAATGTGTTAGGTAAAACTGGGTATGGATTATTACTTTGTATACGCAACTCAGAGATGATTGTTAAAACATTTTCTTTCATTATTTTTTTTTCCTACTAACACATAAATGATAAATTACAATACAATCATTGTGTTTATTAAAAAAAAAATAGTTATTTTCTAAAATCAAATAATGCAATATAATCTTGGTCAGGATATGGAATGTCTGCATACATGGTAGCTGAAAATATATTTGTTTAGAATTAATGTTTGTCTATATCATATAATATGATTTTTTTTTTCTTTCTTTATTTTTCTCTATTATTTGTTGTATATCTTCTACGGATTCATCATTCTTTCCTTGGCTTGTGAACTCTGTAGAACATTGTTCTGAGGTATCACACCCTCTCTATATATCTATCTCGTGACTGTATCGCAGTTACAGAGGGACCATAACCATTTGTCTTTATAATCATTTTGATTTTTCTTTCAAATTTAAATCTGACACTGTCATAACATATTATGATCAGAAGATATTTTCAATCGTGCCATATACATAAGGCTTAATTTTAGAACAACTCAGTATACTCCTTCTCAAATTTGTTAAAAGAAATGACTAATAGATACTATAATTGTTAATCCAAACATTTAGAAATATGGGAAAGTAAACTTGCATGGCCAATAAGTGATGACTCACTCGCAAGATTTCACAGTATGTGACCATGCATTCGTAATTTGCTTTGTCGCATAAACATATATATAACTGTCCATGAGACTCAGCCACAAGGGATCACATGCTAAGGAGGCAAACTGGTTCAGCTTTATGTTTGTGTCTATCCTTTGTCATAAAAAATTTGCGGCCAATGAATGAATGATGGGATTTGAGAACTCTGGAAATGTTCAAAACTTGGGATAATTATCATCACTTGCATCCAAAACTCATGAACTGGTTAGTCTCATCCAAATCTGGTAACCCTCCTCCAATGGCCACCCTTCATTCTTCTCAATAGCCACAAATATGTTTGCACCCCCACATGCATTGGTTTCTTCCTACCTGCACACTTTCCACGAAGCTTCCTATTTTCCCTTCAAATATACACTTGATACCAACCTATGCACACTTGCCAATCTGTGTAAGCAACTCTCTTTTCTTCAATTATTTTGTTCTAGCCCTATTCTACAAAACTCTACAATCTTCTGCTTTCAGTCACATAAATTAATTATTTTGATATTGTCAAGTTGCATTCATTCTTAATTAGTTCTGATTTTATTATTTTAGATTCAAGTTTTTGTATAACTTATTTTTTTAAAATAAAATTATTTACAAAGGTTTATTAGTTTAAATATATTATTTAACAAATTTTGTATTTAAGGAATATTAATTGTTTTTTTTAAAATAGTAATGGAGATTTTTTAAAAAATATAAATATTGAGTGATTATAGACTTCTTGTTATGAAAATTTTGCAAGATGATTTATAATCCATTATTGAATCAATCGTATAATATTATAATTTAATGATTATTTGGATTAGATTGTAGGATATCAATCATATACGAAAAGAAAAATCCGTAACCACTAACATATTTTATGTAAGAAGTTATTTCAAATGAAAGATATAGCTGCGTGAGAGAAACGAATTCGTATATCATAAAATTTAAATAGAAAATTAAAAGGAGAATAATTTTAATGATTCAGCAATAATTTAATGATTAACATTTATTTTCTTCATTAGTACGTAAAATAGCGGTTTAATAAATTACGAGCTTTCCTTGAACCTTCCTCTGTCGCTATTTGTTACAATTGAGTGTTTGTTTTTATACAATACAATGTCGGGTGTTGCTAGAAACATATTATGATACAGTAGAACATTATGTGAGTATGTACATTTTTGTGGTTCTTGTTCCATTATGATAATATACGAAAAAAATGGCCACAATATTATTGAAGCTAGTACACATAGATATTTTAATATTGTACTGTGCCTATGATGGAGATTGGACCACCTGAGCTCAACCTCATAATTGAAGAAGTTGAAGATAGTTCTACAGTAACCGCATAAGAATGCTATCTAGGAATTGACCAGGATGTTTTTTACTTCTTTATTTTCGATAATTCTTTCAACCAGTAGAAACTATGAGATTAGTATTTAATTTAATAAATTAGAAAGTATTTTAATAGAGTAAAAACATATTATGCAGCACTTTAATAAGATGTTTTTTTTTTAATGTTTAATACAACTTTCTCATATACATTAAGAAAATAATTTTGGGCATACAAATTTCTTAAAAATATCAATTTGTAATACAACAGCAATAAATTTATTGTATTCAACATGAACCATATTTAAATTTAGTTAAATAATAAACTAAATATTATTTTATTGTT